CTTGACTTCCTGGATAAGATTAGAGATTCAGCTCGGGATAGAATGGCTGCATATACGCAGAGAATCAGCAAATTTTACAACCAAAGAGTTCACCAAAGACTTCTCAAAGTCAAAGGCCTGGTTCTACGGAATACTGCTGCTGTGCAAAAAGGCCGCATTCATGGAAAACTCTCAGCAACTTGGGAGGGACCTTATGAAATATATGACGAGCTTCAGCCAAGCACATACCGACTTTGGCAGTTGGATGGCACCGAGCTAAAAAACCATTGGAAGGCTGATGTACTCAAAAAATATCATGTGTAAATCCCTTCGGGGAAGAACAATCTATGTAAGTACATTTGTTTCTTATCAATGAGAAGGCCTTTGAGTCATCATCTATTCAAATTCAGATGTATTTCTATTTTCTCTATCTTCTATGGTTTTTTTGCAAAAATTCAAGGTTTTCATTCGGCGTTGTTCGAAGTATTGCATAATGATGCATCGTACTTCGGCAATCCGTAAAACCTGCCGAGACGAGGATAAAAGATAAAAGCCCGAAGTATTGCATAATGATGTCTTGTACTTCGGATGAATCTGTTCCTCTAGGCAAAGAGGTCATAGGCGCATTTGAAACATAGCCTAAAAAATAGGGACTGATAAAGCCCCGAAGTATTGGATAGTGATGCCTTGTACTTCGGATGAATCAGTTCCGGGTGGTGATTGCATTTCCGAAGTACTGCATAGTGATACCTTATACTTCGGTTAGATCACTCCCCCGGCATCGTGTTTCGAATAGTCGTTCCCTCGGATGAATTCAAAGTGTCACAAGAGTATTGCTCTCAGAGTCCAGGACTCTTGAGCGAGAAATCAGAACTTTTGAAAACAAAAATAGAAGAGAGAAAGCGAAATGAGCAGAAATATTGCAAAAATTTTCACCAAGGCAAGATCCTCGGCTATACCGAGGAAATAAAGGCAATTATCCCAGAATTCAGAAGACATCATCTTTAGATTTCTAGGGGGGCAAGAGGCACTCACTTGGCAAGTTCCTAGCCAAAGCTTGGTACTTGGAGAAAATTTTCACAAGCTGAAATATCCGAGTAAAAACGAGTAAGGAAAAAGAAGCGCAAGCAAAGACAGTGCACTATCAGATAAAGTGAATTCTCAGCTTAGTATATCTCCAAGCCGAAGTTCTACACTTAGCTAAATTTTGAAGAAATTCAGGAAAACAACTAAAGCACAAAGAACATTAAGGCAAGCAATGGAAGAAGAAAGCTGAGAAAATTCATAAACATAGAATGAGAGTTTCAGAATGTCATAAACAAAGGCAAAGCAAAAATTCTAAATATCGGCAATCGCCCACAAAGCGGAAAAGCACAGCTTCCAAATGAAGTACAATTGCAAAAAGTAATAGAAGTTTGTACAAATTCTAGCAAGCTGAAAGCAAAAACTAAGGCAAAAGTAGACGCGACATCCATCAATTAAGTACAGGTTGATTCGCATGATTCTGAAGACGACTGCCCGAGTTCCTATGCTTCAGCATCTGCATTTGCATTTGCAGTTGGAACTTGAGAAGGTGCAGCTTCGGTTGAGGACGAGGCAGGCTGGGCAACTGGAACTTCTTGTTCAGCCTCTTCATTCCTTCCTTCCCGAGCCTCAGCTTCTGCTTAGCGGACAAGGAAAGCCACTTCGACTGGGCTGGCCTCGGCCATATGGGTATCATCAGAATCCATAGACCAGCCCTCGGCCACGTCCTAGTTAATCGCAGGATCAACGTGGAAAGCCAACCGCCGAGCAGTTTTGAAGCCATTCTCGAAGCCCTCAGCATATTCTTCCTCGGTGTAAATCCGAGTTTCCAATAGCTTCTGAGCTTCAAGATCAGTCTTGGCTTTGGCAACCTCATCCTTCTCTGCCTTCAGCGCGTCCTTCGGCCTCTTGTTTTCAGCTTCCAAGTTAGATTGCTTTTTCTCAGCCTCTTCCTTAACAAGAGCAATCTGATTCTGGTGGTCCTCAACCAAAAGGAGCCGAGTCTCAACCTCCTTCCTTACTCCCTCCTCGATGCGGGCCCTGAAGTCTGCAAGGCTTTCGGCCCCATACTCTTGTATCAGAGCATGACCTTCGTCCAGCCATGGGAAGACAGTCTGCTCTAGATCCTGGCAGAAGGAGATAAAGTTGGCACTCATGGTCTGCATATCTGCCCTGAGAGCTGAGGCTTCATCCTCGGTATTCAGCTACTTTAGCTCGGCAGACCGAGCTTGACTCTCAGCCTCTTCAGCTCTCTCAACTTTGGCCTTTAGCTCGTCGTTCATCTCCACAGCAAGGAAGTGGTTATGAACGACCTGGAAAAAATAAGACAAGCAAGTTAGCCGAAGTTCAACACTTGAGAGATTTGGTGCAAAAGTGAAAGAAATACTTAGAAAAAAATTAAGTACGAAGGTTCACCTGCATCAGCAGTCTTTGGTTCTCCAAAAATAGGTTCGGCACTTTAGCAGGCTCGGATGCGCCAGACGCCGCGCCTACCAGCCATGCGCTGGCCCTGTCTAGCTCAGGAAAGTTCGAGGTGTCGCCGAAGTACTTGGTCACCGAAATGCGCTTAGACTTAAAGATTTTCCGAGCATGCTTAGGAACAGGCACCAAGGGGGCTGAGCCGAACCCCATCTCAGAGGACTGGAAAGTCCTAAAGGAGCCAGCAGCCGGGGTAGATGGCACTTCATTGTTTTTAGCCACTTCTGCTTCGACTTCTACCTCGGCCTTCTTCGGCTGTCCCATATTTTCATCAAGCGCTTCGTCCTCAGCATGGACGATCAGCGCATCAGCTTCTCTCCGAACCTCTTCGAAGAAGTCTTCGGCCACATGGCCCGTAGAGGGAGGGGACGTTCTCAGCTTAATTACCCCCTCATCCAGGACATCAGGGGGCGGAGTAGTAGCCTCCTCTTACTGGACCTCTTCGAGCCGAGGTCTTTTCTCTGGGAGAGTTGGGGCCCGAAATTGCCCAGGTCTGACAAACTTCCTCTTTCTCCTCTCGCCCGCCGTCCCTTCATCTGAAGAAGGTTCAGAAATAGGAAATGTTCGGGCTGGGTCTACTGGTTCTTCCTTTCTTCGTCAGACTGCAGCAGAAGAGAAAAGGGGGGCAAGGACCAGTACAAGCAGATAAGCAAAAAAAAAAAAAAGTTGAAAAGTTCGAGTAGAAGAAGCAAGGTAGACGAAGTTCTAAACAATTTTTCACAAGTTGAAAAGACATTTGAAACTCACCAAAGTCGCCAATAGATGCTCGTCTTCGGAGTCCTCTTCTGCTTCGGGACTTCTCCTCTCAGCTCAGCAGCTGAGGTAAAAGGCCCTGCCTCGTTCAGAGGGGCTGTAGCAGCAATAGTAGCAGCAGCGCCTTCTTCAGCTGAATGAAGAAAGAAGGGGTCGATCTTCCTATACCAAGGCTTCTGCCTCTGGTACTCAAGAGCGCTGACAACCTGAAGTTTCCTCGGATGTAGGGAAAAGGGTCGATCCTTAGACTTGGTAATCTTCGGCGTGTTGGTGATCGGAATCCTCTCCCCGCTGATCCCAAGAACTTCATAGCTGATGCCCGAGCTCTCTTCGTACAGCTCTGGAAAGTCAAGAAGAACAAAAATTAGTTCGGCTTAAAGAGTTAAGCATCACAAGTTAGAGAGCAATAAAGAATAAAAAAGACTTCAGCCCCAGCCGAATCCCTTACCGCCTTGGTATCTTCGGCTGAGGCCGACAACAACGAGCATCTTCTCTTGGAAGATGTAATGACAGCAAGGTAACCAGGTGCTCGGCACATTTGCCATTCGCCCAGTAGCTCCAGACACCCAATTTTGGCCAAATAGCTCCATCTGGCGATGATCAGCATCGGTGAACTCATCAGGACCGATGCTAGCCATTTTCAAATTTGGCTTCCTTAGATATCGGGGGCCGCCGAAGTAATTTGGATGTTCTCCATCTGAGGGGGCTCTGATCCAGATCCATTGCCCCCTCCAATCTTTATCCGAAGTGTCATTCGGATAGGACGAAAGAAACCCCTTCTCGTCCTCTATCTGCCACCACCCAGGGCCATGCCATTTGTTAGACCGGGTGTTCGGCATAAGCTTGTGAGTGAAGCAAAAACAGTGCACGCTCGGCTCATACCCACAAAATAAACAGACCCAGAGATAGGTCATAATCCTTCGGATGCTCACTGGAGTCAGTTGAGACAGGGATATATTGTATCCGTTCAGCAGCTTTATGACGAAGAAATAGGCAGGAAACCGAAACCCATACTGTAATTGCCGAGTGTAAACCCTGATATACCCAGGTGGGGGTCGGTGAATCCTATCTCTGGCACTGGGCATTCGGCACTAGTAACCATCCTCTTCCATGATGCCGTAGTAGATTGCGAGTTGTTCGGCAAAACGTTACTGGGCGTTATTCTCAATCCACCAAGAATAGGGCGCAGTGTTCATTATGCCCTCATTCTCTCTGATGTCAGTCCACTCCCGTTCCTCGAGAGTCAACGGCCTTGACGCCGAAGCCTCACTTCGGCCAGAGATACTGGCCTCAGCTGAATCTGCAGGAGGAACGCTAGTCAAAGGCCACTAGAAACAACGGTTGATCCCATCTTGGCATTAGGATTTCGGCCGCTGAGGAAAGGCATCATCGCCAAAAGACGAATCCGCCTCAGAATTAACTGCGGCACCTTCTCTTCTTCTTCCTCGGCACTCGACTCGGGCCTAACTGGTTCCTTACCCCGGTCGCCGGCCATTTCCAATTGAACGGAAGTTCGAAAAAAGTTAAAAGCAAAGAAAGCAGTTCGAAAGTCGAAGAAAGCTGAGGAAATTTCAGAAAAAATTACCTCAATCAGGTGCGGAATTCGCCGATCTTCAAGTTCGAAGCAACGAATTTCACCTAAAAGCCTCGGATTGTTGGGAATATGGGAGAAACAAATTTGGGTAATGAAGAAAGCTTAGCGAAATGCTGGGTCAGTTGTGCGAAAATGATTAAAGTGAGCAAGGATTAAGGTGCGAGTGGCTTAAATGTCTTCTGCAAACAAGATTTTCGGAGTTCATGCCACTAATAACCCCATTAATCCCACTTTACTCAATAACTGTTCGTGTTCTCCTCCAATTAATGACCCAGTAATCTCCTCCACTTCCCTATTACTTCTAATCACCTCCAAGTTAACGGTTATTAGTATCAGTAACCTCTCAGCTTCTCCTAATTAAAGTTGTCATCATTTGCTTCCCTCCAATTTTGCAAGTCAAAACCCGGTTTGTTATTCTTCCAAACCGGGTCTGGGGGGCAAGTTGTTTGGGTCTAATTTATTCTCAATTGGATCTGGTCCACAAATGATTCAATCCAAAGCCCAAAAGCAAGGTTCAACTCTCCAACCCAATGTCAAGTCAGTCAAAAGTTCAATCCAAGTGGCAAGCTCACTTGGCTCCAAGGGCCCAAGCCCCATTATTGAGCAAAGGTATAAAAGCTAGCCTTTCATCTATTTTTACATCTATCCACAATTAGCCTCAAGCACCTAATCTCTTGCATAGCTTTCTCTCTCTCTCTCTAAAAGTACCGTACTGATTTCGGCATTGGAGGGGCCTTCCTCGGCATAACCCCCGAGGCCAGTTTTACGTGTTCTTTGCTGTGCTGAATACCCTCGGCTCCAGCATTCTTTGGACCGAGACTCTTCTTCTCCACCCTAAAAGGGCTTGCCGAAGGCCCCCATCTTACCGAAACAGTTGTATACTTGTGTGTGACACTTATGACATATACACCCACGTCTACAAGAATACCCAAAACTCAAGTCGCTAATCAAATGGTAACTCTATTGTCTAGAGACCATTAGGCTCCTTAGCTTCATGTATTAGATCGAGACTCTAAATCTTTATTTTTGTGGCGAGGTATGTCTTTTTGAGAGTTTGTTTAGAGATTTTTCTTACGTGGTTTTAGCATCTTAGACGCTTTTGGATCTAGAATTTGCATTTCGAGGGAAAGTAATAACTTTGACAATTTTGAATTAAATCGGGAAATTTGCATTATTTAGCCATGTTTGACACTTAGACATACACAACACACAAGTACACAAAGTCGAGTCTCACAATATAAATATACATATGCTACAAAATAAACATTACCATGAATGGAATCATACTATAAATATTTGTTTGTGTGGTAGAATTAATAATTTTAAGTATTTTTGCATCTTAGATGCTTTTAGATCTAGGGTTTGCAATTTGGGGGAAGGAATAAATTAGACAATTTTTTTTATCAAATTGGGGGGAATTTACATAAATTGGCCATGTCCGACACTTAGACATATACCCGTGTTCACACGACTACCAAAAATTGAGTCTTATACAATAGTATAAATCTACAGATGTTACATAATTAAACTGTATGTTGTCTAGACCCTTTAGGCTTCTTCATGAATCTGATCAAGACTTTATACTCTTTTATTTTTTTGTGGTGAAGAGGTTTATATTTGTGTGTCTTAAAATTGTAATTATACAGTTCGAGCATAATAGATGCTTATGAACTTAGGATTAGCATTTTTAGTAAAGGAAAGGATAGGATGAATGATTATAAGATTTATAACATAACATGATAATAACTCATGGTTTAAGTCTTTTATCATGTTGTTCTGTGGCTTCGTAGTAGCATAACAGTCCTGTGAACTTGTAAATAAAACGCCGAATATAGGTTAAACAATATCCTGTTTTGAATAAATAGTGTGTAGTAACATGGTGCAACAAAAGCAGCAATTGTGATTTTGTGAGTCAGAAAATGTTAACAGGAGTACAGGACTACAGGTTAAGTTGATGTATATGGGTGTAGTAATACACAGTATATGGAATGATCATTTTGGATTAGGTGTTAAATTATGTGACTTAATCTTTGTCATTGTTTAACAAATTTCAAATTAAGTATCAATGGTAAGTAAATGATTTGTTTCCCTAATATACGCGTGGATGCAGGTGCTTCATACACGCTATCATGTACTGCTTCGATTAATAGTGATAAGTCTAATTTTAGCATGGAAGATTACCTAGCTAGGAGAATTAAACTAAAGTTCATTGATAAAAAGAAATTTTAGTTTAGAACAGAACAGCTTTTACTGATCTGTGGTTCCTTTGATTTATAATTCTAACTGTAATCATTTTTATCATGATGCTCAGAAAGCTTATGAAGTCCTGAGTCAAGCTGAAATTCATGAACGTCAAGAACTTGCCATCGCGAGTATCTGTGATATACTTTCAGTTCCAAGGGCTGAAGCTGCTATCCTGCTGCTTCATTTTAGCTGGTAAAGTCCTATAATAATGGTTTATTCTCTTTAATTTCCTACAGCTTTAATATATTTAGACTTGGCCAATTTCGCTTATTTTATTAAAGCAGTGGAGGCAATTTATATAATCTAGTGTTACAGCTTACTTACTTATTCTAAAATGCAATTACTCATTTCAACATAGCATACTGCTTATACTGATTCATTCTGTGTTATTATTTATATTTTTTTTTTTTGGGGGGGGGGGGGGGGGGGGAGTTAGTTGAGAACTGAGGAAAAATCACTGATATCTTCTGATTGACAGGAATGTTAGCGCAATACCTGATGCATGGTTTTCAAAAGGGGAGAAGCTCCGTGATGACCTTGGTCTTATAGACGTTTCCTTTGATGCAGCTGGATCATCTAATACAAAGGATGTAAGTTACTTTTTGATGTAAAAATGTTCACTTAACCTGTATATTATGTGTTATAGTATCAGTGTGTCAAATTTTCCGTGACTCTATGTTAGGTTGTCATTGTTGAAAACCTCCTAAGGAGCTTGAGTTTTGTTGGACAGATTACTTGTGGGATTTGCTTGGGAAAATTTCCTCCGGAGCTGGTTGCTGGTCCTGCTTGTGGGCATTTATTCTGCAATACTTGCTGGGCAGGTCAGTTCTGATGCGATACATAGCTAAAACATAACTATATATAGTTATGTAGATTAGATTAGATATTTGCAAAATTAATTCACAATTATATTTACATAAATCTAATAATAACATAAATTTCTATGATGATATCTTTCATGTGTATTTCTATCATTATACGGAGTAATCCTTAGGTCCAAGGCATGAAGGCATCAGTTGATTTGTTCAATTTGTAGTGATCTTAAACATATTTCATCAACTTATGTTTCTATTTTCCGTGTAGGTTATATTGAGACGTTACTCAAAGAAACTGTGCCACCCCTACTGTTACGATGTCCTGATACTTCTTGCAGAGCTGCCGTTGGTCAAGATATGATTAACATGCTGGCTTCTGATGATGACAAGGAGAAATATGCGCATTTATTTTTGAAATCTTATATCCAGTATAACTTAAAGGTGCGTGAGATTTCTATGTTGCTCTATAATCTTAAACATGCATTCTCTTTGGTTAATTTCTTTATTTATTTTGCTGTCAGAAAGATCCTGAGACCCTTATGTCTGATAGTTTTCTTTTGCAAAAAAAATTTTGTGTGATTGTGTGTTTCTAATCGCTTCAATGAAACATGTATAGGCTAACTGGTGTCCCGGTCCTGGATGTAAGAATGCTTTGATTCTTCTTACTGGTAATAACCACCCCAAGGTGACTTGTAAGTGCACCCATACCTTCTGCTGGAAGGTGAGACTTTAGGTTTTTTTTTTAACTGTTTTCTAGTACACTATAGAAGATTTATACATGGAATATATAGTTAACAGAGAAAGAAACAGGTGTATCGATAAATGCCCTTACCAATTGACTTGATTCTTAGTAATTTCTGAAGAGCAGAGTTTGGTTGTTTTAGTTACAAAGTTTTCCTTTTTACAGTGTGCCAAGGAAGCTCACCAGCCAATTGCCTGTTCAACTTTTTGTAACTGGACTATGGAATGCGTCGTGCAGAGTGAAAACTGGTATGACATCATCCCTGTGACTTGGAATTTAAGGGCCTCTTTTCTTCAGCTAATTCAAACAATATTCTGTATTACGGCGTTTTGATGATTAGTGATTCCATAAAACAAATAACACTAGTGAATCAGCTTCAATCTGTTTAATGCTTTGATCAGTAAAATCATTCTTAATCAGTAACAATCAGTTTCAGTTAAAGAAAACATGAACTGAACGCTGCAATTATTCTTGATATTACTAATCCTGATCTTATTCCTTGGAACACGATTGATTCTATATGATTGTTTATAGTAATGTTACGTATAGTACTTATTATAGGTGTTTTGTCGCATCTGTATATGATCTCGATGATATTGTAGTAATTGTACCTGTAATATTTGCTTTAGTTTGATGAGTTTCTGATAACTTATCTACTGTTTTACAGTAAGTCAAACACAAACATGAAAGGGTGCCCAAGCTCCTTTGAAATGTCTGGAACTCATAAGCGTATGCAATGTCCATCGTGTGAATATCACTTTTGCAAGTAAATACATGACAATTCTGTCACAAATTTGATTTCTTTTATCTATATTCTTCTCCATCATGCATTTAATATGTTGATATAACTTTCAGGCTGTGCCGTGCATCTTGGCTAGATAATGGTTCATGGAATGGTGACGAGTTCAAACACACATGCTCTAAGGGGAAACAGAAAGTAGAGGTGAGTGCTCTTTTCATTCCTCACTGAAGAACTTTTAGCTAGAGATTACTTATTTTTATAACAGGCTGTTATTATGAGCCATTTTATCCTTCCTGATCTTATAGAATGATGATAGAGAAGAGAAAGGACGGATAGCCCAGGAGAGCCTTAACAAGTATACTAATAGCTACAATCACTGGATGGCAAATGAAATGGTAATTAACTAACTATAGAGCGTTTGCCATTTCTTGGAATCTTTTCTAGAGCTTAAACTTAGTTTTGAAGTAAACTGGCAGTGTTCAGAGAGTAACCCTGTATTCATTGGCTCTCCTTGCAGCACTTACAAGCGGCTAGGCAAGAACTTTATAAGCTAAAAAATGGCCAGGTGAGACTTTCCAAATTTTGTATGTTGTACTTTCATTAGCTTCCGAAAATTGTTGTCCACTATTAGTCTTTTTCTGAAATTTAACATTTTAAGTATGATTTTGTACATTTAATGTTGCATTATTCCATGGAATCGGCACTTAAGTATTACAAATTTTCATTCAACACAAATATAAGCATTTCCTTAATAAAATTACTATTTCCTCAAAATTTTGATAGATACTTGTATGTAAGTCTCATCTTTATGAAATTTGCAGCTCAAAGCAATAGCTGATAAAACAGGCCTAACTGAAAAAGAACTTAGCTTTTATACTGATGCATGGATGCAGGTGAGTCCCAATACTATTCTTAAGAAAAATCATAATGGAGAAATCATAATATGGCATTTACCTTATTTCTTTTCCCTTTTCTCTTGCAAACAGATCGCAGATTGTAAGCGAGTTATGAAGTGGACTCATGTTGCTGAGTACTACATACCACCCTATGAAACAGACAGAAGAAACCTCATACAGTTTATTATGAGTATGCTGCTTATTTCTGATATATTATCGACTAAGTGTTACTTCCTTTAGTTTAATCATCTTTGTAAATCTTCTGCAGGGCATGCTGAATTTGTTGTGGAACAGCTTTATCAGTATGAAGCTCAGCTGACAGCAGTACTCAATATGGAAAAACTGCCACCTCAGTTCTCAGAGATTCGTGATCGTTTGTGTTTGAAGACAGGGTAATTACAAGCTTAATAGCCTAATTCTATCATCTACATGAATATATTCTTATTCGGATTTCTTCGTTACATTCAGAATTATTAACATATTGTGACTTGACTCATACAGTGTGGCTCGAAACTACTATGACAACATGGTGTGGATCATAGAGAACAGGATTAAGGATCTGAAGACACTTCACGATCTGATGGGCATCAAGAGTCTGGAACAAGGAATTATTACTACAACAGCTGCTAGTATTGAAGACACTCCTGAACAGCCAGTCAACAAGAATTGTGATTATTGTCAGTTTCCGAAGAATGGTCCTGTTGGTTTCCTTTGTGATATGTGCTATCATTAGATCTATTTCTCATTTGTGTTGGTAAAACTATTATTTAGCCAATCCTTTCTTTAGTTTGCTAGGAATTGTTATGGTTTATACCATAATTCCTAGAAGAATAATTTCTCTAAGACAATTTGTTTGTGTTGGTGGATTGCAACAAGACTAGATTGTGAGTTTGGAACCTTCATTTCTTTACCATAATATTATCTTTGATTTTGTGGAAGTTATGTCATTTTGGGCTGTGCTTTACTATAAGGTGATAGGGGGGCCTCGTTTAGGCTGCATTTATCAAAAGAAATCCATTTTCTAATTTACATGTCTTATATACACTTGGTTGTACTTGAATTTAAATACAAGTACCGAACAGAAATCAGACGGTGGGCAAAGAGCATCAAATAAGTATCTTTGTAAGGCCCTTTTTTGTAAAGGGGATTTGGCAAAGGGATATATAAGAAAATAAAAGTCTTATACGAAGTATTAGGTTTTCATGTTTTGTTCTATTAATGAGATGACTTTAAATACGGAACTAAGGAACAAAGGGAAATGAAACCCTTCACAAATATTCGAGCTCTTTTCCTTCCAAAATTAAAAAGATTTGAGAGGCCAGTGAAAATTAAAAGTTGTCAATTAAAGTTCCTTTCTTTATCTTTCATTTCTTTTCATTAAACCAAATATCAAAAAAAAAAAAAAAATCACTTTTCATCCCTTCATTTTACTTCAGATTTCTTCCCTTCAACTGTTATTATAACAAACAAAATATTCACGGTCAAAACTTGTGTGGCTTCAAAAATTCCAATAGTACTATAAATGTTGGATCATTTTTTAACTTGCTAATTGTTTTGAATACATACTAGGCATCTAAGCCAAGATCTCATTGATATTGAACTTATTACTTGATTTGGATATATATTCATTCATCTCAAAATAATTGTATGTACCTATTAGAAAAATATGTCAATCAAATTGGGACACTTAAAAATAAGAGTAAAAGTACAAAACATTAAACATGTAATGGTATTTTATTTGCTCATTTTAAACTTTTGAAATGACCAAAAGACCATACAATTGAATAAAATATTTTAGGATGCACTTAATAGGCTAATAGCGTTATAAAAGATTCGAGATTAAGTATAGTGCATGATGTGTTGGACTAAGAGGGAAATAGAGGATGCTGAAAAGTAATTACAGTAGTGATTAGTGAATAAAAAGCATAATCAACTACTTAACAAATATTATTAATATATGATTGTGGATTACCTTTTTAGACGAGGGATAAATTGAATGTGAACACGTCCAATTCGAAAGAAAACAGGACGAACATAAAGAAATTCTAGGAAAAAAATTAAGAAAAGATTGATGTCGTACATGAAGAGAAAGTTAATGATTTTTATTGAAATATAATGTACTTTTGTATCTTTGGTGAAAGCTAAGCTAAGTTTGTTCTTATCTAATGGAATTAGCCCTATTTTTCTTAGAAGCTAATAATTACTCTTGGAAGTTTATATCATGCATTTAGTGATTAGGGTAAAAATTGCCTATGCCACGTGGCCCAATTAGAGGCTGACACGTGTCAGCCCCAGAAAGGGCCAATGGGAGGCAATCCCAGGCTGACACGTGGCAAGCCCTTATTTGGCAGGGACACTGTTCCCCCTGCCCTATAAATAGAGGAAAATACCTTATTTATGGGGCATCCAGAAAATTAAACACCAAAAAAAAAACAAAAACAAAAAAGCAAACAAGCATTTATTTCTCTCTGAATCAGAGAGAAAACATCTACTTTTCCGCATTAATCACTTTGAACGTATTCTAATTTGATCGTCGGAGGCGGAACTCCACCCAACCGGAGTTTCATTATTTTGCAGGGTACAGCCGGTCAGCAAGCCAGTCTCGGAATTGTAACTCTCCCGCAGGACACAGAAAAAACCCCGAAACATTTGGCGCCGTCTGTGGAGAGAGTACTTCCAAGATGACTTCTGACTATGTACCGCTTGCTGATGGCAAACGACCTATGGTCGAAGCCGAGGTCCACACGGATCCAGGCAGTGGTGACGATAACGATGTCGACACCTATATGGCCCCAGACGGGTCATTTAGGTCACGACGCACCCGTTCTCGAGAAATAAGGGAACGGGGATTGGATGCAGTCCATGACCCCCCAGCCGGCCAGCCTGCTGGGGTACCCCAGGCGGCGGAGGGCTCAGCCCCCGTCACCCGAGACGAACTCATGAAATTCATGACTAGTTTCAAGGGGGAGATCACGGACATAATAAAAAAGTCTACTGGCTCCAAGAGGGGTCAGGCGGCTAAGAAGCCTTCTCCCTCAAAGAGGGGGCAGGCGGCAAAGAAAGCTTCTCCCTCCGGGAAGAAGCAAGTAAAAGACCGGGTGCCTACTCCGCACCCTAAGCGGAAGGGGGCGGATGGGCCCCAAATCGATCTTTCAAGGCTCCGTTTCCCTGAATCAGGGCAACGGAAAGCCATCCGGCAAGTACAGTCGGATGGGTCCAAGAAGACGTACTCCGACGCCCGGATTTTAATCCAGGAAAGGAGAAGTCAACAGCTGTCTGAGTCGGCTTCCACGTCGACCTTCCCAGACAGCTTCCGTAATACTTCAATGAAGTATTCGGAGAAATCGAGGAAGTCAGTCGCTCAGAGTTTCCGCGCGCACTGGCCCTCAAATGATCCAGCCGGCACCGTATGCGCCCCAACCGCCATACATGCCCTATGGATCCCCATACATGCAGCCGAGTCTCTTTGGAGGTCAGGCGGAACCAATCCAGTCAGCCGACTGGCAGCTCCGGCTGCTCAACCTGGGTGAGCAGCCGTCAGCTTTCTCCCAAGAAATAGCCGAGGCGGCTCAGCCGGCCAAGGTTAAGAATGTGTTGGTTGGTACCTTCGACGGTACCACCAACCCAGAAGACCACCTCATGGCATACACCAATCTCATGTACCTACAGGGGTTGGATGACGTCGTCTGGTGCAAGTGCTTCCCAGCTACCCTCAAGGGCATAGCCCAGAGGTGGTTTGGCAACCTCCCAGCCGGGTGCATCAACAATTTCAGAACGTTGGCGTATCTCTTTACGTCCAACTTCTCCATGAACATTCCTGCCAAGAAGACCAGCCTCGATCTAGGGGCAATACAGCAGGGGGAAAAGGAAGGACTCCGGTCCTACGTCAGGCGGTTCAATCTGACACGAATTCAGATAGCCGACCTGACGGATGAGGTTGCCTATACAGACAACTTCAAGGGTCTGAAGGACGGGTCAGTTTTCAAGTTTGACCTCGTCCAGAAGAGGGTTTCTACCCTTCATGAAGCCCTGATGGAGGCTGAAACCTATATACAGGCGACAGAGCTGTGCTCCATCAGGCAGCCGTCGGACTTTAAAAAGTTCGACATAAAAGACAGCCGGCCTGCCTAGCCGGTTGCTGCAAAAGATAAGGGCAAGAGAAAGGAAGTCTGGGCAGCCGACCGTCCTGGTCAGCCGTCCCAGAAGAAAGCAAGAGAGTTGCAGCCGTACGTCCCAAAGTACGAGTTCAACAAGGACCCATCCTCCATCTTCGTGGAGATAAGGAACCGGATGGCCCTTGAGAGACCGGCTCCAATGAAAAGTCCCGTCAACAGCCGGGACAAGAGCAAGTATTGCCAATTCCACGAGGAAATTGGCCATGACACCAGTGACTGGTATACCCTTAGGCGACAACTGGACCGTCTGGCTGATGAAGGGGCCCTGAGGTCTTATGTAGTGAATCCCAAGGGCGGAGCCAAGCAAAGCAAAGGGCATCCGTCCAAGAAGCCGACTGCCATCTCTGATACGGATGAAGAGCAAATCTTCACCATAGCAGGCGGCTTCGCCGGAGGGGGCCCAACCATCCGGGGGGCTAGAGACAACATCCGGCGTCTGGTCAACTCAGTGGATGAGGGCCAGGCGTCGCCGGATACCTTCCCCGAAGTCCTCGTTTCCGAGAGGGACCGGGGCAAGGTCCGGCGACCTCATG